CCCCCCCCCCCCCCCCAGCTCTATGGGAATTGCATGCAATAACCGAGGACCCGCTTCCTAGCAGGGAACTTCCCCCTCGCCCTGCATCCCCCGGCGGCGGGGCTGCAGCCCCCTTACTTACCCCTCTGGCTTGCCTTCGGGACTTTGGGGGGGTTCCGCTTGCTCCCCACGACAGATCCTTCCCGTGGTTAGACAGAGCTCATTGCATCCCGCCGTTAATCACTGCCTGGAGAGGGGAGGTGGGGGGGGGTCCTTCCCTGCATGTCAGTCCAACTTGCCCGGCTTGCTAAGAAACCTCTGCTCTGCCTCGCAGCTGCCAGGGGGAGTGGGGGAGTGCATCTGGAAAAGGGGGGGTGGGGGTTAAAATGTTGATAAATCCACCAGCCTTGGTCTTCAGCTGTGTGCCATATAGTTTGGGGAGGGAGGAGGAGAGCTGGAGAGGGGGAAGGATGAGGTAGGGAAAGATGAAGATGACAGTGATGAATGGGGGGTGAAAGGGAAAAATTGATTGTACCCCAGGTTGCAATGGAATCGGATGGGCTTCCCCCTTCCCTCTCTCACACCATCAGGGGCTCAGCTGAGACTTTCCAGCATCACGGTGCAAGGGAAGCCGCTGAGCCTGATTTCTGAGAGGTTTGCACAACTGCAGCAAGAAGCCAAATCAAAAAGCCAATCTCTAAGCCTCCAAACTCCACGTCACCCTATCAGCTGGGAGCAAGAACTGCAACAGAATTACAAGCCATGCATATTTATTCTGCTGAATTGAGGGGGGATTTTCAGATTGTTTAAAGCAAATCGCAGCGAAACCACAGGCAAACCCCAGCCAAAATAAATAAAGGCAGACCAGCTGTCTTGCATTTAACACACACACACACTCTCTCTCTCTCTTCTTTCTAAGTACATTGACTTGACTTTGTACCCTGGGGGTGGGAGGAAGAGGGACAGAAGGAGTTCACCCTCAGATCAAAAGCTATGGATTGCACATCTTAAATGTGGTGTGGCTGCCAAACACATCTGAGAGATTAAATATAGCCAGGGAAATTGTATAGGTAGCTCAGCCCAGAGTATCCATTTGAAACTGCCTGCTTTGTTTTGTGGTCACAGAATCCTCCCAGTCCTCTCCCTACCCGAAGTCAAATAACAACTTGTAAGGAGGCAAGTCATTTTTAGGCTAAAAATATGTGGCCTCACAAGTTGCTATTTGACTTCAGTAAAAGATGACTGGGCTGGGTAGTTTCCACAACCACAGAAACAGAAGGATGGCTTTGAAATCGGTACAGGGCACAACATGTAAGTGCCTCTATTTTTGTCAGGCACAACCACAGCAGGTACAAGTAAACGTGTCTCCCATAAGATTTACTCTTTGGCATAGCTTTCCCTTATGCAAAGCATTATAAAGTCACAGTACTGTGCAGCAATGTCCTTAGACACTAAAGCATATGCAAGAGCAACCAGCTTTACTGTAGGATGATGTACTATTTCATTTTATAAAAGGAAGCTGTCTCTAGCTCTGTTATAACAAAGTGGTCCTGATAGCTCCCCTCTGCCTCTGGCTTGAAGCAGGAGCTTTTAGCTTTATTTCAAGGCTTAAATACTTGCACAAGTGCAAATTGCCCATGTCCAAAGTGCCTTTGCAGACTGACCCAAGAAAGCAGTGCCCCGGGGCATTATGAACAGGTTTCCAAACTATATAACTACTCTCCCTGCAGCTAGTTACAGCCGCAGTGGTGTAAGGGGAGAAAAGGACCAAGTCTCAGAGCAGCTGGTAGTTACAGGAATCTTGACCTACCGAAAGCTCTTATTTGATCTGGGTAACTTATGACACAAGCTCTGTAAGAGCAGAGGCAAATGGACATCAGTACCTGTAGAAGGCGATTTTCATCATCCTGAAGCACCTGACTGCCAGTCCATATCTTAGGTGAGGAGATCTTGCAAAAAAAATTATTGGCCCACGCAACCCTAGCATAACAGGATTTAAGGAAATGGGAAAATATTTGCTTCCTCTGGCCTGGCTGCTGATTTTTAATATACTCTGGGAAGACAGGAAATGGATGACCAGCAATGAGGATGTAGGCAAGGAAAGGCAGAGAAACCAGGAAAAATGGTCCCTACAGAAAAGATGAATTAATAGGAGATGGCTGCATAGGGAAGCAAGCAGAATGCAAAATGTCACAAAGGCACAGTTGTTATGAACCCTAACTGATACTTTTATCTTCATTTTCATATATTGATCATATTTTCTTATGTTGTCTTTTCTTGTATCACCCCACACACATACCAGATGCAGAGAGTTCTAATTATCTGCTTGTATTATGTGTGCAAAGGTAAAGGTACTCCCACCTCCCCCACAGTCTGCTCACACTCCACAGATAACCCAGCCCAACTCAACCCAGGCAGACTCAGAGAAACCTTGCAAGAATGCCTGAGCCATGCAAGGCTACCACTAAAGCGTGCTGTGGGAACATTACACAGGGAGTCAGACAGGCAGCAGGGGATGGCTGTAGACATGTCTGATGACTGAGTGACTTCAGGAAAGGTGAACAGCATTGCAACACACATGCACGCACAGACACACGCACATGCACACACACACACAGGCATGGCTCCTAAGAGCCTGTGGCTCTCTCTAGTGCAATTGGGAACCACAGCTTTTTATACCGCATGCACTAAATCTAGGGTTATTAGCATCGATACATGAAACTAGCAGTGTGGCATTACTCAATGATATCTGTGATGTCAGGGAAGGCTAGAATACTTCACCTAAGTCACTGGCAGCTGCATACATGGTCAGATTTCATTTTGTCTGTTCTGATGCGTGGTACCTGGGTCATGGCCAATGTCAGCTTTGGTGCCATTGTCAGTCATGTGACTGTTACTTGAATCATTCCTGAATTGTATAAGAATAGAAACAGTGCTAGTAGTTATCAGCCCTGGGCCATGACCATGAAGGAGGGCCCACTATTGGTAAAGGAAAGGATTTGTGGTTACGAAAGAGAACCTGCGGTCAAGGAGTATTAGTTTGTGATGACATCTGTGACACTGATTCAGAATGACTTGGCCAATATCCCCCAACCTTCTCATGCCCCTGTTTCTCATCTATAAAATGTGTGTATTAAAAAAGAGCAAGAGTTAGTTCAATGTCTTCAATTCCTAGGTAAGAAGTCTCCCCACAAGGGCAAGCTAAGGGGCTGTTCAGGCCTGCAACCCGTCTGTAGCGGTTACAGATAATTATTTTTATTTAATCCTAATGGAGAGGTGAGCTGGAGTTAAAGACTAGAAGTACAAACCACTTGTCAATGGGAGCAAGGCCTAGGGGCAACATATGTATTTACAGTTAACAATAGCGTAACATAGACACAGCTCATCATTGTATACAGATGTTTTATTTCACCTCTCATCTCCAACCCTGTGCATAAAGTTATGCCTAAAATGTGTAAGAAATGCTTGTGGGCATTTCCCTCTCTTTTTCCATTCCATATGGGCGTGAACCTATGCCTCTCAGTTTGTGAAGAAAATATTTAGCACAACAGGGAATATATTAAATATTTTATTCCTCAGTAATCTCAAGATGTGCATTCTTTTTACTAATGTGGGCAAGAAAGCATCCAAGCCTTTAAATAAAAAATGTTTCTTATTTATGTGAGACTTAGCCAATAAAATGCAAGTAGTTAAGCAACTGCACTGCACATGGCATTCCCACAGTACAGACTTAAATATTGTTTTTAAGTAAATACTGACTTTCAGTGCAGACCTCCAAAGGACTTCTCCTGTGCTACGTCACAAAGACCTGTTGAAAGATAAGCGGATACCAGTTTTACTGCATCAAGGAACATATACTTTTATCTTCATTTTCATATATTGATCATATTTTCTTATGTTGTCTTTTCTTCTATCACCCCCCACATGTACCAGATGCAGAGAGTTCTAATTATCTGCTTGTATTATGTGTACAAAGGTCAAATTAAATGTTTTAAGAAAACTTCCTGTCAACTCTACTTTCAGAAGAAAGACTATAGATATAACACATAAGATCCCACATTCAGTTACCTCCCAGATCAGTGCTGGCAGTATTAAAATGATGCAGTAGCCATGTCTTGCATTCAACAGCATGACTAATTCTATCCCAACTATACAACTGGTCCAATAAAAGGTATCACCCCATGTATTTGTTCTCATACACTCAAAAATTAAAGGCCACACTTAAACCTCAGGTGAGTTTTATTGGGATCTGGGGGTTTGTAAGAAATATCAGACTAGCCACACACACTCTTCTTTGAATCTTCTGGGCCAAGAAATGGTTTTTCTAACTCAACCCCTGATCTTAAAGCTCATCTGAATTCTTTCGTCCTATATCCACCTTATCTGTAATGAAGATGCTGCACCTAGAAGTTATTGTGAGCACCATTGTCAGCTAAAGAAAATTACCGTAATAGACTCCAGTTGACTTTCTCAAAGCACTGCCAGGGCAATGGCACCTACCAACAGAAAAACTGCAAGTTCTGGAAAAAAACAATGGGAGCAGAATGAACAAATAAGAAAGAACAGTTTTGTTTCTCTGTAATTCACCAGAGACTACATAATTACTGTTAAGGCTCTGATATGATTTCCATCCAAAAATATCAATCTGCCCCAGGCATTGTACTGTATTGGAGCTAAAACAAGCAAGTGAGCAAGGAAGATTCAACCACTGCTTGTCTACTCTGCAGTCAATTCCCCACCATCTTGCTTTTCTGCTCTCTTTTCCTCCTCAGAGTGATCTTAAACATACACTACCTGGACTCACTTCTTTTCCATTCAGTTAGTTTAAATGCAAGGGACCTTACTGCCCCTCGGACAGGGCACCAGTGACACCTACTGAAGTCAAAGGGAGTTACTTGTATCTCCTGGGGTTGCAAATCTCCCTTTTTCATTCTAAACTTGGCTTTGGTTCATCTGGATTTCGGTTTCATGCTATACAGTTCTCATACCTTTGGGGGTTTTTTTTCCCATTTGGCTTTCATTAGGTGTCTGTTCATGTTAGCATTGCAAAGGATGGAATAACATGGCATTTCTTAGTAGGATTTCAGTTGGAGAACCTTCAAATGCAGTACTACTTTGAGAAACGGCTGTTAAAAAAGGCAACATCTTCGTTTTGCCAGAATTCCTGAGCAAATTAACTCAGTTAACAGGTAAAATTATCATTATTCCAATGACCATCCTTGCAAATGTAGTCAAAGCTAGAAGAGGCAAAAAGGGCTCTTCACACACATCACCAGTAATAAAGGCCCTATAGCACAAATTGTACCCTGGGTGATACCCATGCTGTTCCACTGTCTTTTAATTATGTTCCCAGTGACAGCTGTGCAGCCCCATTGGGTTTGCACAAAATGAAAGCTTGTAAATGGAATTCTGTTGATGATGCACCAGGTGGCATAGAAAGTAGCTTGCTCTCACTCAGCTGGCTTGTTTCTGCGGGCTAGCCAGAGTAAAATCTTCTAGTCACTCAGATCAGCTGGCCTGGTTGCTGTGCGCATAGGGAGCAGACCTGATAACCGGTATTTCACAGCCCCTATTCAAAGCGGAACTGCAATTTGAGGGGTAATGTCCTTGTTTTAAGGTCTAACCATGGGTCACATATATTTATTTTTGCATGTAAGGATTGGTACAGGCTCTTTGTGTGACCATGTAAAAATGAACAACATGATAACTTAAGCAATTGATGTGACAAATGTGCCCTTCTCTGTGCTACCTTAAAGTAGCCA